TTACAGAGTTTCTCTGCGCGGCAGATAGAAACTCTGCGCGGGGCTTTCTTGCAAGGTGCGCAGCCGCGCAGGTGCGCACCTTAGAGGGAACAGTGATATGTATACATATATTTATATATGTACGTACATATATAAATACACATATTTTGTTATGAACTGTGCAATTAAAAGCCTGAAAATAATAAAAATGCAAAAACAGTTATCTTTTTGGAGCTCCTTTGCCTTTTTTGCTATCTATCAGTTATTATCAATGTAAACTCAAGTACCCCTGCCTCTTCTGAATTATACATCTGACAGTTCTCGTTCCATATATTATTGAAACTCAGATTTCAAAAGTTGAGCATTAACTAATAAATTCAATTGTTCACTGAATACAACTGATTAGAGAATGTAAGGTTAAAGAGGAAAATCACAACACAAGGCTGTTTACATCTTCAACTATTGGTAGTAATGAAATGAGTGGTCGTTTTTATACTTGTGATTATACTGGTAGCATCACCCAGCCATTGTAGAAACGATATAAAGCCTGTCTACTTTGCTGTTACTTTGAAATTGTGGCTAGGTGACACTAAAATATCATGCAAATAATCTAAGGAGAGCATGGCAATTGTGAGGACACTATAAAACATTTCTAAATGCAAGTAGGGAAAAGGCCAGTGTCAGAGTGTTTGCAGAGTGTGACTACTATTTTGAGACAACCCAGGATACACACACACGTTTTAGGCACAGCGAGGCAATCAGTCTCCAACTATACACGGAGAACTACTATGAAGATAATACACGAGATAGATACACTAGGAGAGGGAGACGTCCTCACATAGCCTCCCTTATATATACAGCTTCTTAAAGTGGCAGTAACTCTGCTGACTCATCCTCATGTCATCTCAGTTTACAGCCTTACAGGAGCTGCTCAGCTATTAAATGTCATTACCCTGACAGCCAGTGTGAAGATTTAAACTAGCCACAATTTTTCTCCAAATAATTTTGAACAGAGCCAAGATGAGATCTAGGTTTGGCCCTTTTGGTGTGCAATTAATACCAGTCTAATGCCAGTATGCATTATTATTCCCCAAGCAGCTTGCAGAAAGATCAGGAAGACAGTTGTCAAGATAGTCAGGGAACCTGAACAGCAGCTTTCTTTTTTCTCACAGAAACACTGGGTGCCTTGGCTTCTGTCCTCTCTATCTGGATCGTTACAGGAGTGCTGGTCTACTTAGCTTCAGCCCGCATAATTAGCAACGACTATGAGATTGAAGCTTCTGTGATGCTGGGCACTTCAGCCTGTGCAGTGGGAGTGAACATCATGTAAGGATTACTAGATGGGGAAAATATTTGAATATTAACTCTGTGAGGAGGTAACTTTGATTATCAGGTAGAATGTCTATGTGGGACCGATTAAACAAGCTTAATTTCTATTGCAAGCTGCCAGCCATATATTTATACTGATCACATGTTGAAGGGGTCTATTATGAGCAGGCAGGCCCTGTTTGTGGCCATAAGAAATTTGATCTATTTCTCTTTAAGATGCCACTGTATTTGAGGGGTTTTGTTGATTTTTTCAGAATTATTTGGATGGTTTGATTCAAAATGAACTTCTACTTCAGGTGGTGTTTTTATCTGATTTTGCTAGAATCCACTTCCCTTAACTGGTCATCTTTACAAAATGACTTTTCCCAAAGCTGTTGCTTTTTAATCCTCCAAGATGCTGGAGATTATGTGGAAACCATTGCTAATCCTATCAGGCAGGATTCTCTCTTCCTGCAGAGCAATTCTAAAATATTAGATAAACAACTATGTATCCAAATAAAATATGTGCATATTTGAAAGATTTCCTATTTTGCTTGGTTACCCTAAAAGTACTGATTAGGAGATGCCCTTAAGGATCTATACTATAGCTACTACACTTTGACTATAATTATTTTGTAATCAAACAATATCACCACTATGACTATGATATACAGTATATGCTAGTCCAGTTGTCTGTACCGATTGGTGAAGGAATAGGAAGTATGGGTAGAAGTGGGTTTGCTGTGATGGATGGGATTTTTAGAATTGTTTGGTGAGAAATAGAGACAAAGATGATCTTAGTGACCACTCTTGAAATTCTTCACAGCATGGTCTACCTTCTGCATCAGTCAGGCTCTGCACACAGTCATGGATTCAGCACAAGAGGCTATGAACAGATTGAGGACAGCCCTCATGTCCCCTCCATACCCACCCATGACAACACCAGTGTCCGAGCAGCTTTTGTACATGTGGTGGGGGACCTACTTCAAAGCATTGGGGTCTTTGTGGCTGCCGCTGTCATCTATTTCAAGGTATGAAGGATCGGGGTATGATACTTACTTAATACATCGTTTCTCTTGTTCTCTAAACGAAGACCTCCCTTATGAGGATTTCCCTCCATTACTTCTACTTTCCCTAGCAATTATACTCATTGACACATAATGGCAATACTTTCTGTGTGTGTGTAGAGGACACTTTTGGAATTTTAAGGTACACCCACAAAATGTGCATCCATGATTGGCTGGCCAGTAACGGAATATCAAATTGTATAAAAGAAATCTAAAAGAAAACACATTTACCAATGAATGTAATGATGTATGTGTGTTTAAAGAGAGCAAAATATTTTTAAATAGAATTAAAATAACCATAAAACAAAATTTAAATATAGCATAGAAAACCTTCAGAGGAATTGTCTAGGCTAAGTTTAGGCCTACTGTACTCTTTCTGGGCTACCAGTCCATCAGAATGGCAGCTACGGTATTTAATGGCCATATGAATTTGTATAGCTCAGATATAACAATGTTAACAAAGATCAAAATATGTAAACATTCTACTGAGAACCTTGGCTATGAAAAAGGGGGGATTGTGTGACTACTTGTCCTTTTCCTTTGCAAAACCAACTCGGGGTGTGAGAATCAGGAGATAAGTACCAGAATGCTTCATACTATCTGCCATTCCCTCTCCGTTTTTGCAGCCCCAGTGTAAGATTGCTGACCCAGTGAGTACTTTCCTCTTCTCAGTCTTTGTGCTGTGCTCCACTTTAACCATTCTTCGTGATGTTTTTCGAGTACTGATGGAAGGTAAGTTGTCTTTCACAGCTGCAAGGAGGAGGATTACAGGGGGATGGGCATTGTTAAAATAATTCTAGAATTGTTCTTGCAGATAATCAATTTTATTAAATAACCTTATTATAGGAAGTTATTAATTAACAATGGTTTATGTATAATTAACAGTGTAAGTGGATGGTATAAATGCATTTAAAGCTATGGGCAATGATGGCAAGAGCAAAGGAATTTTCCTTCGTACATTGTACACAAGTACATTGAGGAAGAAAGAATGACACAAATCTCTTTAGTTATGTATATCAAAAGGTGAAGAAATGAGAAACCACCTGAGGGTCTGTTCATAAGTTGGCCTTTATATATCTTGCCTCAAGTGGTAAATGTTTAGAAATAAACTATTAAGACTTTTGAAATAAGAAAATAACCAAGGCAAAGTCTGCGTTGATCGAAGTAATAAGATGAAGAAATTGATGATGGTGGTAATCAACTATCTGCAGTTAGTTACCATACAATAAGTGGGATAATTTCCAGTGGGATCTATAACAAAATATTGCATCTGTGCTGCACACAGTCCAATTGAAATGCTCCACTTTAGAGCTCTTGGCAATTGTGGTAGTCATACCTACTGCAAGATATTAGGCTGCAAAAAAATCAAATTAGTAGTCTATTCCAGCTTCCTGTTATTGTTGTTTTTAAATTTTCCACCTGGCATTTGACATTCTGTGGTAACAAAGGATATTCAGTCCTTGCTGTGCTGTTCTTTAGTTGATTTGTCCATTTAAATATCTCTGGAGATTCTTAGTCATCCAGGTCATAGTTGTTTGAAAGGTGCTTTTTCAAAAGGCAACTGGACTGTTTTTTCCTTGAGGAGGAAGAACAAAACATTTTGTTTCTCATTCAAGAAACTTCACCAATTGTGATGGCAGCGGGGTGTGTGTGTGTTAAATAAAAAATCCTTTATCCTTCTGCAAACCTTGAAGTTTCTCAAGGGCTTCTCTTACCTTACATTTGTCCTAATTTACCTCAAATCCTGTTTACACTTGCCACTCATGTTTGCACTTAGATGGCATTGATTTGATTGATTTCTTAGATGCCATCAAGTCAGTGTCGACTCTTAGCAACCACATAGATAGGTTTTCTCCGTAATGATCTATCTCTGGCCTGGGTTTTCAGAGTTTCCAATGGTACACCCATAACTGAATCCATCTGGATTGCAGATGGCATGATTACAGCTAAAAAATCTGAAAGTATTATGGAATTTACTGGAAATGGCGAAGGCCCCATACCAGGGTAAGGGAGGCTCACTTATGGCTTGGGTTACAAAGTAACTCTAAGAGTCTGACTATTAGCCATGGCTCTTTTCAAACTGCAGTAACAAACCAAGAATTGTATAATGGCTTTTAGATTAGTAACCGCATCAATGTCCCTCTGGTCAGGAACAACAGTTTTAGATAAAAAGGCCATCAGAGATGATTATACCCTACTGGAATGCTTTCCCAACATATGATTACCACAGTTAGGATATGCAAGTTGTTTATGGGATTTCTGTTAAAATGTGTATGAGCCACAATTTTAAAAATACGGGCAATAGCCTACCTATGCTGTCCAAATCTATGCAGCCATCATGGAAACTAGAATTTGAAACAAAGATTTCTAATTTTCACAATTCAGCAATGCTGGACGCTCAGAGTCTCAGGTAACTACCGGTACTTGTCTTTGATAAAAGAGCCACATAGAATCAAGTGTATGTTTTAAAAGGTATCATTCACACACTCATTAATCATTTATTCAGTTTTAATCATTCACACACTCATTAATCAGTTGAACTATGTGTTATGTGAAGCCAAATTAAGTTGACTTATTCACCAAATTTTAACTAAATCAAGGCTTTGTGCAACTTGTATATATAGAAAGTGGTTATGCTCTCCATTGGAAGAGGGAGGCAGAACTGGAAGGTGATTTTTCTGATCAAGGCAAAAAATTAAATGATGTACCTCTCAAATTTCAGTACAAAAAATAAATAAATGGAACTGTGTTTTCTCAAGCTGGTTTTGAAATAATGTCTGCGTGCTGACCTGCACAGTTGATGTGAAAGGGCTTTACTTAGCTTAGGAGGAAATTGCATAGAAGATACCTCTCTTCTTCTGCATCTTGCGGCTTCCTCTTAGGGTCTGTGCGTAAAATGGCTGCTTTATGGTAGGTTTGGATTACGTAAGAGGCCATCACTGTGCACAATTCAAGCAGGGATCAGAGGCTTTTAAATGGGGATTGAATTGGACCCAGTTCAATGTGTGCCATTTCTTTCTGTCCTTCAGGGACACCACGAGGTGTGGAGTTCCAAGCAGTTAAGGAAACCCTGCTCTCTGTCAAAGGTGTGAAGCAGGTCCATAATCTGCACCTTTGGGCTTTAACGCTCAGCCATCATGTTGTGGCTGTACACGTAGCTGTTGGTGAGTACTTTTTTTCCTTTGTTCTGAGCAGCTGTAGACCATGCAGGAAATATGCAGTGTTTCATGGGCTTTCAGACTTGGTTTATAAGGAGCATACAGGCTTAAAAATAGAGATTGTGGCGGAATCACATTTCTGGACCCTGGAAAGACAAGAGTGGAAGAAACCCCCAGATTTGTTTTTTAAAAAGGCATGACCAAAAATACAAACCCTTTAAGATTTTCTTTTCTCCTAGTGTGGCTGGTTGTGGTAGTGTTATTGCTACTATTGTCATTACCTCCAGGAAAACCAAGTATCTGAATACTTTAGAGGTTTTCAAGTTTTGAAACTATCTCAAATCTTGTTCGCAGATATGTAAGGCCCTCATTTCATCTTTAAAACTTTCAACCACAAACCCCTCCTCCCCCAAACTGGTGGTTCCTGGCTTTATAAAATGGAACCCTTTACTGTATATCTTACCCCAAGCCTGTGGTGTTCTTGAGCTTTTTGAGAAAATTGTCTTTTGTAGTCTCACAGATGCAGAGGATTGAACTAGAGATGTGAAATAGGATGCCTGCTATTCTGGCCTGGAAACTACAAATAATAACTTTTATTTCCCCTGTAGGGGAGTGCATGAGATAGTCTGAACCAGTTTACAACTGACCCTACTTTGATCTTTGCTTCCAGAATCCGATGCAGACATGGAGGCTGTGCTACAACAAGCCACAACTCTGCTACAAAGCAAGTTTGGTTTCTTCTCATGCACCATTCAGGTGGAGCACTACCTGGATGACATGGCCACCTGCCACCAGTGCCAGGATCCACAGGACTAAGGGGAAAGTGCTGCCCTGTCTACTTTTCTCTTCAACTGCCAGTCCCAGAAGGTGCCTGGAAGTCCAGGGCCAGAAGCAGGGACCAGCCTCTTTTGCCATTCACAGCCGAAGCCTCCTCTCAATGCATGTTTAATCAGCATATGCAGGAAATGGCAGAGCACCAGGGATAATTGTCTGCCCAACCAGGGAAGTCTCTGTGGAAGAGTTGCTGGTGGTCGAGCATCGTTCCAAGCTCAGCCTTGCCTCTTCATACTGCACTCCAGTCATGTGGGGTCACAGCTGTTTCTCATGTTCATTTGCTAATTGTGTTGATGTATAAATCCAACAGAAATGGGGATCCGGTGGAAAGGACTTTAAACACCTTTCCTCCGAAATGAAAAGCAGTCATTTTTTCCCTCAATCTGGGAAGCTTGGTGCTTGTTCAGGGCTTTTATTGTGACCATCTCTGTGTTTGCATGTGTTGCAGGAGTAACAAAGTGTTCTCAAAATGAATGTGAATGATGAAAGCATGGGTGGAGCAACATTATTCCACTCTACCTCCTATTGTGATTAATACCGCAAAAATAGAGCAATTTTGCCTGCAGAACAAACAAGCAACAAAATTAGCCACAAAAATGACTTCTGTCCCAATGATTTCACCACCTCATCCCAGCTGAAGTATCTTTGTTCCTTTTCCTGGAGAAAAGTCGTTATTTGCATTAGTTTTGTCATCTAAACCAGGCTTTAAAGAGTCAGCTCTCATATGAGCCAATCTCAACTCCTGGTGACTCCATGGATCCCTCTTTGTTATTTTCTTAGCCACAGTATAGAAATGTCTCTTTGTCTTATTTCAGGGTGGTTTTTTTTCATGTTCTCTACTTTGGTATTCCCTGAAAGTTTCTCATGTAAATAACGACCAGAGCTGACTTCAAAACTTATGCACATATAGAAACTACGCACTATGACAGCCAGGATGCTGTATTCGCTTACAGATTATGATGATCCAAGCCTCACTTGGAGATGCAAAAGTGTAGATTCTCAAAATTATTCTATGGGATTGTTCTATTGATCTGAACAAGAAAAATAGGAATTAAGTGTAGACTGGTGATAATGTTGTATATATAAAAATACCAGATGAAAGGATTCCTGTTTCATTTGACTTGGAAGACTACAGTTACTATCCATTTTTAAGATTCAGGGAAGATTGTGGGGAGAATGGGAAAAAAATATTAAGGTCATTGCAGCTGCTCTTCAACAGGCAGGCAGTTCTCAGTATCAAGGGTAGAAATAGTTCAGTGAAATCACCTACCCCCAGGCTCCATCTAGCTTGAGAGTAAGGTGGCTGGTTAGCTGAGAATGTTAGTCCCCATGGCAGTTTGTTTTTTCTGCAAAGTAGCTGAAGGTACCAATGTGTTCTCCAGGCAGCTACCACTAGAGTTTCTCTTGAGCCTCCAAAAATCTTGCTGAAGAGGCCAATCTTCCCTCCCTCCCATAGCCCAAAGTTAAAACAAATTGCAGCATACATTATTATTCAAGAGATGTCAATATTCTATTCCCAACCTAATAGTGAAGTCTAAAAGTATCCTTTTGACTGCTCACTAGCAATTGGTATCAGAAATGTATCGTTTCTGATACTGGTGCTTAAAGTAAAGTAGCTGCTCCTCACAGCCACTGTTCCAGAGGCCAAGTAAAAGGGCCCCCAAATCTTAGTGACCAATAAAAAAAAGGTTTTTGCTACTGCTATCTGAACTTATTTCCATACTACCACCATATGCTCAGTCCGTCATTTTTGCATTCACAATTTGAGTCTATTATTTTGTGTTGTGTATGTTTGTGTAGTGTATGTATATTTTTACTGTACAGTGTTTTTTACAGTGTGTCCAGATGGTATTTTAACTATTTTAATTCAATGCTGAAAATATCTGCGATTCCAATAAAGTAACCTGCTCAACCACACCAGGCTAGTTTACTGGGGCTTGGAAAAAGCATGTCGGTTGTAGAGATCTAGAACAAATTGTTCTAGAGTGCAAGCAGGGGGTTGAAGGAAAGGGGATGGTCAAACAAACCCTAAAGAGCTGAGGTTTTGACTCAAAGGTCTTAAAACAGCTTGTGTGAACGTATTCTATTGCTGACTTGTCTCTTTATGCTAGCTAGAGTTAACAGCTTGTTTGATACTAGAACTGTAACAGGTAAGATGGTAAAGCAGAGTGAGAAGATCCGTATCACGTGAGTTGGCAAAGATGAGATTTTCCAGAATTTAGTGGTGGTAGGGGAAAGAGATCAATTTTATTAAATACTCAGGAGATCAAATAGTCTTTTTACTCAGTTTTCCACAAGAGTGAAAATTATGGGAGACCACTAAAAGTTGCAGCCTAGTTGGAGAGTCTCTATACAATCTATGAATACCTGCTTTGTTGTTTGAAAGAAATCCTTGGTGTTGATAGCTGATGGAGGAATGTGAGTAGCACTTGTCATGGAAGACAGATTAGGACATGGATTGAGTCTTGTCCAAGATCTCCTTTGAAACAATACACTACAAACGTGCAATTTACCACGATAAAGGAAATGGTACAAATTTACTCTTTAAAACTAAAACAGATTCCTAAGAGAGTAACTCAAATGCACTACTCTTAACTTATTTTGAAGACAAAGATGCACATAGGCTTATCAATCGCACTTATGTTACCTAGTTAGGTAATGAAACATCTGCAAGCAAGCAACCCAAGCTCAGAGAGCACCAAGGACTCCTTAGGCTTACTTCCTTATTTATCACCAAGGGAGGAAAGGGGCATCTGAAGCCCTTTCCAAAGAAAGAAAGCACTTTTACAAATCAAAACACATTTTAATAATGGTCAAGACAACAAAATGGCTCAATATGAGCAAAATTATTGTCATCAACAAGACTGCGAGAAGCAAGATGAGCAATGGGGCAATAAGGTCTTGTTGATGCTTTAAAATCAGAGCAGATCTAGGTTTCAGGAGAATCTCCAGATCTATGCAGGAAGAATATGAGATACTATTCCACCAAACTAGCTAGAGGGAGATCAAATCCCTCTTTACTTCTGAACTTTGTGCCATGCAAGAGAATCTCAGGAGAGCTGAAAGAAGTATTACCACATGGCAGAGATACAGCAGGATGGACTATTCCTCGTCACTGCCTTTTCTCCCACAACAGGAGTTGACTTCCAGTGCTGTTAGAAGCTCCAGTATGTGCCATTCATCTGGCCAAACTCTTGTCTTCGTCATTCTCTTCAGCTTATCTGTTTCAATACAGTCAACATCCTCTTTCTTTTCATGTTTGGTTGTGTTCTGTATATTCTGATAATTCCAGGATTCTCACAAAAGGCCTTCAATGTGTCAGCCATGTATGCTGATGCCCCAAATTGAGCTGCCCTGGGTGATATTCAGCTGACAGCACTGTGCACCTCAGATGAGATGGTTGTGGGGCAGTCAAATTGTCTCTCTGAATCAAACATGGAATTAAAATGGGCCTGACAGTCAAGGAGAAGCTTGTGGCTGCGGGGGAAAAGCAATGCCTGAACACAGTGAAGTCGCACAAGGCCAGACTGACCACCAGACGCTATCCAACTATGGCTGTCAAGGTTTGGGCTGAAGCGTACCTGCCAAGAGAGGAAACAGAAGGATGATGATGACATTAACCATTCACCCACCCATCTCCATCCAGATATATCTCCCTCACAAATCCATGAAGCTTCAGGGAGGATGGGGGAACCACAGTTTGACACAAAGGAAGAGATACTGTGAAGTAGCATTTGTTTTTCTTTCCTCTCGAGTTGTACAGACTTTTTTCCTTTTATGTTTACCTTATGTACAGTCTCGAGCTGCATCTGGCCCAGGACAGCTCCTTCTTTTAATTCTTTTGGCATGCGTTTCAGGGGCTTCTGCCTAAAGAGGCTCTTGAAAGATGTCTACGAAAGACAGGGAAAATAAGAATTAATAGCAGGCCTGGGTAGATCAAGAAAATGAAGCGCATCATCCATTAAGGCTTTTTTGATTACAGTTGTCAACTAGTGATTGATTGGCTTGGGATGGAGCCTTATCACTCTGAAACACACCACAGAATGGGTGGGCCTGATAACGCTACATAGAAATTGGGAGTGGGAACCCTGCATCTTGACGTTAGTACAGGGAGGAGAGTAGAATAATTATAACCACAGTTTCTGCTGCCTTTGTTAGCATACAATATATTCAGTGCCAGATCCACATCAATAGCTATCTTTGGTCTGATAGATAAAGGGTCCTGCCTGGAATATTTATGAAGCTGAAATGGACGCCCGTGTTCCAAGGTTGTAATTGCTATTCTTCTAGAACCAGAATTCTGCTATTTCCAAGCCCTCACCAAATCAGCATCCTGGAAGAGAATGACATTCTGGGCCACCGATTCACTGCATGTTTTGCCCACTGCCTGTGGCTTCTCATAGGCTGTTGCCTCTGTTGCGATCTTGTTAAGTGGGTCATTTGGCTGTACAACTGCTTTGCAGATGAGCTGAAGGTACAAAGGGAAATAAGTGTTAAGGATAAGAAGACAATGGCCTTGGAGATAAGAAATGTTGCATTCCAGTCAATGGTTTAACACAGAGGACAAGTGCAATGATGATTAAGAAGCAGCGATACAAAGCTTAAACCTAGATACTGAACAGCTGAAGGAATTGATCTGACCCAAACTTTCAGAAACCTCTTTGCTACTGTGACTGAAGTTCTCATTGTCATTAAATTCAGGGAAGGGTTGATGGGTTTTTTTTTGGCCTCATTCATATGCATTAATTTGTTTTCCCATGTCTCAAAGGCCATACAACTCTAATATTTGTGATTTGGAGTACAGAACCGAACTTCTTCACATCCCCAAATTATGTGCCCTTAATTTTCTCAGGAAACTAAGGTAAGGTAAAGGTTCCCCTTGCACATATGCGCTAGTCATTCCTGACTCTAGGGGGGCAGTGCTCATCTCTGTTTCAAAGCCAAAGAGCCAGAGCTGTCCGAAGACGTCTTTGTGATCATGTGGCTGACATGACTATTTTTCTACTTGCATTTTTACATGCTTTCGAACTGCTAGGTTGGCAGAAGCTGGGACAAGTAATGCGAGCTCACTCCGTTAAGCGACGCTAGGGATTCAAACCACTGAACTGCTGACCTTTCTGATCGACAAGCTCAGCGTCTTAGCCACTGAGCCACCGTGTCCCTTTCAGGAATCTAAATACCCACACTATTAATACTAACCAAGACATTTCTGTTTTCTTTTCAATAAGAGAATATGCTTCCACCCAAACAATGTGCTGGAATGTCTCCTGGAAGACATTCCTCCCTTTGCACAACTGGCTACAGTTAATGCATAAGCTTCCCTTTCCTCCACTCAGATCTGTCCAAAGAGTTGACAGAGGGGTCGATTCTTGTTTTCCACCCTGTTTGGTTGGAGATGAAGCTTGTGGCCCTCCCATAGCCTTCCCAGCAAAACCTACAAATCGACGGTCTGATGGCCGCTTGACATTTTGTGGGTTGATTGAGA